ACATGATTCAGTCAAAACAAAACAGCAACAACAACAGAAGTAGAATATTTCTTCAAAATATATCTAATTTTTCTTTGGTCTACAAATATTTAGCTTTTATGAATTTACTTGATTCCAAGAAACTACCAGTTTACATAATTTCTCAAATTCCAAACGAAATGATTCTGGTCTATCAGTCATTACACATTATTTTTATTTTTTCTAATATTTTTTCTATTATCTTCTTGGCGCAGAAGGCCAATGAATTCGTTCTCTAAGATCAGACTTTACCAAGAGTGAAGCAGCAGATCAGCCCTTGAGACATAACTTTTCATACCGTAACAACTAATGTACTTGAATTAGACACACACGCCCACATGCTCCATACGCAACGGGTAGTGGGGTTGGGGGTAGAAAAATAAATAAACAAAAGAGGGGAACAAGCAGGTAAAATATAGCCCCTTCCCTCTAGAAGTATCTGATTTAAATTTTGGAGAAATAAAATTGATGAAAAATTAAAAATTAATAGCTATGCATAGCTTCCCAAATCAAAGTTAAGTTTCCCTGTGCTCAAGTAGCTACCTCTACTTACATAAAGCCAGTACTGAAATTAAAAGTGTCGCTTAAAAGAGTTAATTCTGGAAGTATTTCATTTAAATAATTCATTGATTAGTTAAGTGTTTGAGTGTTTACACTGGTGTGAAAGCCAAGTCCAAAATGCTTAGACTAGTGTTTTTCCCAGGGTGACAACCGATGGTCAATGTCAGAATTATGTAAGGTTCTCTCTTTCTGTTGGAAAGAGTCTTTTTTCTCTACCGCAGAAAGAATATATGTTAACTGTAAACATCAAAACATTACAGAAAGTTAAACTCACCCACAATGAACCTCCCAGATAATTTATAACTTTTATGCTGTTTTCTTGAGGGGTATAGTAAAGAATTTAACCTTGGCCAAGGAAAGTTCTAACCTTTGTCCTAGTCTTCTGGGAGGTAATATCTAAGTCCCTGTGGACATGTCTTTGCCTGGGAACCTTGGGACAGCCAGTGAGGCAGCAGTATGATTTAGGGTAGGGTTCTTGGACCTTGTGGTACTTCTTAGTCCCTGAAATTCTGGAAATTGAGAGCAGCCAGGTGGGCAGTCAGCTGGGCCTGTGAGATGGAACCCTAATAAGTATCCTGCATATGCAAACTCACGAGAGCTTCCCTGGTTGGCCCAATTCCATGAGTGTTGTCATACATTGCTGCTTGAAAGTAACGCAGTCACGATTCTTCAGGGAAAGAACAGTGAAAGCACGGCATTGGCATTTTTCCTGGGTTCTGCCCTATATGTTTTTGCCTTTGCCAATTTTAATACAACAGCTTTGAGTGAGTTCTGTGAGTTTTGCTGGTGACTTATCAGGCCTAAAGTTTTGTGACCTCTTGAATCTGTGGTTGATGACAGAAGTGAGAGTGGTATTGTGTATTTCTAATTATACAGTTGGCAAACTCTTGCAGATGTCTATTTAGAAAATACAGAAAAGAAACAAGAAAAAAACTATTGTAAAGATTTCTTAAATTTAAAAAAAAGTATTACATAGTAAAAACTGATTTACTGTTAAATTATGTTGAATCCTCTAACTACTTTTTCCAACCACTTTGACTTGTACTTTGATTTTATAACTCCAGTTCACTACACTGTTATCATAATTAAACAATATAAGGTGTCTTGCATACATTTACGCTTCAAAAAAGATACCATACAATATTTATTCTCTCTCAACCTGCTCTTTGTACTCAAAATTCTGCTTCTGAAAATTATCCAGTTTGCTATTTTCCCTGAAACCAAGATGACATGCTCTCCTTCCCTTGTTATTAACTAGGCAATTACCAAGAAACAAGTACTAAATGCCTCATATTTATTTCTTTGATTTAACAATATAAACATCATTCTGACTTTATCAAAAGTTGCTGCTTTTTTATAAGCACTATTATAATATGTAAACTGAAGTATAACAAGGTTATCAGAAAAATTTTAATGCATCTTAATAGTAAAAATGTAAAAGTCATCCTTATACCTCATAAAGGAAGCTAAGAAAATCTTTATTGCTCACAAAGCAAGTTTTCATATCAATTATGATGGATAAAATTTAGTAGATTTTTTCATATAAGAAATGGATTTTATTGCAGAAAATTAGTTTGCCCTGGACTAAATCATACATTTAAAGCAATATCATCATGGGCTACAAATGTGCAATTAAGTAAATTTCTTAATTTCAGAATTATACCAAGAAAGATGGTTAAGTAATAGAAATAAAATTCATACCACTAAGCAGCTCTGCCCATATGTTTTAAAATTCATCAAGCCACTGACTACTAAGTTGTCCCTTTTGTAACAGTTAGCTTTAATTGTTACCGGAGCTTGAAGAGAGAGAGAAAAAAGAAGCAATCAAGTTTCACTATTTTGTTAATTTATAAAAGAATGGAGTAATTTATTCTAGGGGTTTATGATTTTCTTGTCTACTGCCCAAACCATTCTCCCATAAGTTATCCCGATGAAATTAACACTTGCGTTTTTAAGTAGCAGATTAGTGATTTTACTAATTTTACTCTACTTTTAGACTTTTGCTTCATCGTTTTGCCCTGTTCTATCCCTCATCTTTACTGAGATGTATCCAGAGGTTTCATCCTCACTACTAATAGCCAACTTCAGTACACTTTTAAAGCAAGGTAATTTTACGTTCAATACTTCTTAGGAGTATGAAACAGAATCTCTGTTTCACTTTAAGCTTTGGCCCTTTTTTGGAAATAATATATTTTAATGGGGAAATGTTTTCTAATAGCAAATTTAGTCTTGAAGATAAAACACATTATAAGACAAATAATATAACATGTTATTAGTGAAGCCATTGAAAAAAAGGGAATCAAATAACAATGCTGTTACTAAGAGAGCAGAATATGAGTCAGTTTATTTGCTAAAGCCTCAAGCTAACCATTCTATTGATATACCCCGTTGTAATTATCACATTAAAAAAACATGACTTGGGCTGAATATTCTTAAGAATGTGTCTGCTTAATGCTTTCTGCCAATCTGTTGAGTAAGATTAAATTGGAATCTATTTGAAATTAGAAGAAAAGGGAGAGGACATTTTTTAAATTGCTTAGTCTCAAGAATAAGTTTATTTCCAGTATAAAAAAAAAAGTATTCCATATGTGATACATCTTTAGATTTTGTGACAATAAAAGAATAATACTGAGAATACAAAAACAAATCTGGGTTAAAAATAAAGCATAATTATTGGCTCAATTATCTGATTGTAAGCCAAATTTTAATATTTTAATTATAATTATGTATATTCAATAGAATAGTTGGTATTCATGAAAAACTTTGTCAAAGTGTTGCTTATTCATGAACTTGATAATAGAATTATGTTAATAATAGCATAAAAATATGAAATTATAAAGAATTGAAAGTCATACTCTGGAATATTAAGACTGTCTTTTGCTTTCTCCCTTTTATCTCACTTCTCTTGGAAATAAAGCAAACAGACATGAGCTAGGTTTGGTGACATACGGAAATAATTGATCTCTGACTGCTCTATCCCCTTTGTATAAGGCAAAATGTCACTTTTGACTTTTGGAAAAGGAAACTTATTTTTTTTTTTAACAATCTAAGGAAGATCTTATCTTTTTTACTTTAATCTTTGCTGGTGTGGTGGCTGTGTAATACGGCAGTTTGACTGGGTTGAACTACATTTCATTGAATCCCCTTCCACATACGATTCTAAGCGCAGTGCACTACAGAACACTTTTGTGAGATTTTAAAGGGGGAAGTTACACAGCAACCATTTTGCAGCTCACAACTTGTAGCTAATCTGCTGGGTTACCTCATTTCGGTAAGGGGCATTGGTCAAGGCTGTGACTGCTCTGTAATCCATATTCTCCTGAGTTTCCCTTCGGCCTTCCTGACTCCTGCACAAGGTGTGCCTTTTGCCACCCATGAAAGGTGACAGCCTTTCTGTTTTGTTTTCAAATTCACAGGTTTCAAGATCAGAGACAGTGAGAACTGACAGGTTTCAATCTATCCCTGCAGGTCCTAACTCGTACTTGTAGGTTCCAGGTTGTCTTTTTTCTGATTTTACATTCATGTACTCTTAACAACTGCCTGCCCACTGGATGCCAAGCTGCAGCATAAGACTCAAGACAACAGCATTATGGAGACTGCTTATCCAGTCCCCACAAGTGCTGGAAGGCTAACCCCTATAAAGAATTTCTGTGTGTGCCTGTTAACATATGCACTTTGGTTTGGCTTATACAATTTAATTCTGATAAAAGAACCTTGTATTTTGTCACATGTTGTGTCTGAAGTTTTAGATTTTTTTTTGCATTAAACTATATACTAAAAGTAATAGCAAGATACATGTACATGTAATTGATAAAAACTACTACTACCACCAATAATCATGAAAGCAAAAACTAATATTAATTATACTCTCAGAATGTGCCAATCATTCTACTGGGACAAACTTTTACAATCCTTATAACTCCCAATTTGGGGGAGGTAGTATTGTTTCCACTTTGCTGATATGATCACAGCTTTATTGAACTTCAGAGCCCTGAATACTATTTTACAGTCTTAAGTTTCATCTTCTACAGCACAACGTCTCTCACTCTAGTATTAACCTTAGTGGGCAGTGTCACAGGAGCACTGAAGAGAGTAATCGTTTCTTACCTTTGAATAATACTTGTGTAAAGTTAGCAATTATTTTTATACTGCAATGACTAAACAATATTTGAGCACATATTATACATATTATCACCAGATTTATATCAAAATAACAAATCATAATTACATATATCACATAAAATATTAACATGTATCAGTGAAAAATATAATTGAATCTATTATCTAGATTGTCACTGCAACTGATTGTGAAGTAGTAGACTCAGTAAATTTTTTATAAGTAGTAAAAAGTATTAAAGACACAACCACAGATTTGGTTTTTTTTTAAAGCAATAGATAAAGGAAGACAATGTTTAATATTTCAGGGCTTGGAGGATATAGCAGGCGAAGAATTACGGCTGAACCACCTTGCCTGAAACCTAGGAGTTTTCCCACTGTAAGATACTTCAAAGTAAGTTTTAATTTTGTGCTGTAATCCCATTTCTCCTCTTCAATATGCTAGTGCTTCACTCATAAAGATCATTTATATAAGCTTTCAATGCTCTTCAGTTTCAATTTTCTTCTGCAAAATGAAGGTACTAAGAACATATTACGTAAGATTATTTTGATAATAAAATATCATATGCAAAAGTGCTTTGCTAGTTTAATTATATTTCTTTTAATTGCAAAATAGATTGAGTATGAAGTTTTTCAGAATTTGTAAGATGTGATCCAAATCTAAGTAGGTATTTCTGTTTTTCTGAGCGCTAGTTTTCTGATATTACCACCATTTGATTGAAAGTATTGAGAGGTCAGTTAAGCGTCGGATTAGTGGGAATAAAATGTTATTCTTGATGATGTTAACCTGAAAGACTAACAAAAGGCATCGTTGTGCTTCTATTGATTGTAGTCTGGAAATAAATTACCTTTTAAAAAACAGGAAAGATTAAATTTAAGAAATAATGCCTCGGTCTAAAGGTTTTTTTTTTTTTTAAGACAATGTATTATAGCATATTTACTCATAGAAATAATACCAAATAAAGGTAGATTTCTGGAGAAGCCTTCTATTTATATGATTCAAATTTAGAGCTTAATTATTTTGGAAAACTCCATGGTTGTATGAGTATGTATGTAAGTATGAGTTTCTGTGTATGTGTATACTCCATTTTTTTTTTCCTATGGCTTTTAGCTGGGAATTAACTCAGTGGCTGATCTCTGATCCTTGAATGAAGCCTTGTAGAAAAACAGCCAGTTGTATGGCAAGAGTGATGCCAACTTGAAGCCAAACTGCTCTACTAACCCCTGCTTTGACTCCTGTATGCCAAGGTGTTTCTATAGCATAGATAACCCCTTACAGAGAAATACTGCTTTTAGTGTGGATAACCCCGCATAAAGATTTTTATTTAACCTCTCCACTGGTCAGGATTTGCAAGAACATCTGAGACATAACGAGCTGCCTATGTTTTACCCCAAAAACTTGCTATAGGACATCTTCTGGAGGGTGGGTGCTGGGATCCACCGTCTCACGGCCACCTGAGACATGGCTTCTGCCTGTAATTTCCCATTATCTTTTTTCTCCTGAGAAACTTGATGTCTCAGCCTCTCTCTTTGACATCTCAGATCCTTTGGCCTTTGGGAGCAGGTTTGTCTATACCTGCTCACCGTGGAACAGACCCCCACCAAATTCAAGACAACGAGGGCCTCTGAAATTCTTCTGGTGCTTAAAATCTCTCTAATGTCTCTTCCTGCCACTAACTAAAGAACATTTTTTGCTTTTCATGTGCTCCTGTGAAGAGACTGTGACTACCCAGATAATCTCTTTTTTTGACACAGAGTGTAATATAGTAATAGAAGAAATATTTCACAATATACAGATTTTTCACCTGCACTCAAAGGGGAGGACAAGGCCTATGAGCAACCATTGTTAAAATTCTGCATTTTTCAGAAGTAATTTTAGTTTTAAGCATATATTCTCATGAAAAGAAGTCGTTATGTAAGCTTTATGAAGCCCTGCCTTGAAGAGAAATACTACTTGCGAGGCTTAAGATTTATTCTAAAGATCATCAGACTTAATTTTCATTGACAAATGTGTTCCTTTAAACAAGATATGATTATATTTCCAAAAATCTACATATTTTACTTCTCCCAATGTTATCACTCTCTTCTAAGTAAAGTATAATCTGCTATTCTCATGAATTATCAGTATAAAGTTCTTTTTCAGTTCTTGAAAATAGCTTGGGGCAACCTACAGCTATTGTGATAAATGATAGAACTTACTAGGTTGTAAGTAGAAATAATAATAATTTTAAAATCCCAACAGAAAATAACCTGAAAGACTGTCTCCCATTATGCAAGTATCCCAGCTTCTGTGCTTCCTTTCTTCCTCTCTTTCTTCTTGTCTTTCTCTCCATGACATAAGTAGGGGGAAAAATCTCCCTGCTTACCAGAAAATGCTGCTTCTCAGGGACAGGTCAAACTCAATACTGGACTTTGCTGTTTACCCATAACACGTAAATATGCAGTGACTATCAGAGTATATTAGTAATGTCAGTTTATTTTTATATGGAGTGAAGAAAACCCCAAAAACACTTCTTAACATTAACATATACAAGCATTACACTAATGGATTACCAGATCATTGCATAAGAATTCTCTTCAAACCTTTTTCAACTTTCTCCTTCATTTAGCATGTGATTCTTTATCTTCTGTTGGTTTTTTTTTTCTTTTCTTATACTTGATTCTTTCATTCAAGTGTCAGAATTGATATGTCCACAATTTACAACGCACTTTTCAAAGAAACGGGAGTAAGAACAGTGGACAGGAAATGTGTAGCTCCTATTTTTATAAAGCTGAAGTGTTTATGGCCCAGGAAAATTGTTTTCTTTCTACAAAAATTTTCAAGTATACCAGGGTATGTCCAAAGGCTAGAGTTGATACTCTTTTCCAAAGAGAAAAATGATATATGAGCCACATATAGTTTAAAAAATAACCATGGATTACAGTTGTGGTGTCAGCTATATGGAGAGACTGGTGGAAGTGGCTAAATAATATTTCCATGATCCCCCTTAATTGTTGATGTTCTCTCTGGAATGAGGGCATATTACTGGGAGATGGTGCTCAGAGATTCTAAGTATTATGTGGAATATAGGATACTAAGATTGTATTTTGAAGTTTGAGCTCTGAATCAACACTTTCTGGATATATTTCTTTGGGGAAATAAAGCAATTGTGATAAGCTTTATTTTCTTCAATTATAGTAATACTATGCCCTTCTCTTTTTTTCTTGTATCATTTTACATACTTCAAATTAACTTGATTATTTATTGCATTATTTTACCAACTAGACCATAAACTCCATGAAGTCAGAGACTACATCTGCTTTGTCAATGAATGTCCAGGACCTAGCACATAACCAGGTAAAGATGTTTTCAATAAATATATGTTGGCTGATAAACTGTTCAAATTGTAAAAATGCTGACCCCAGAAAAAACAAGAATCAAACAATGCAATGCTGTGACAGCATTTGAGAAAACATATATGATTTAATTTTATGACATACATATGAGGTATTATAAGTAATAAATTGTTTATGATAACGTTAAGTCCCATAAAAAGTAGAATGTGTGAAGACAGGGATTCTCAACAACTTGTTTTTTTGTTTACTTAGTGATTTTTCAGATCATATTTTAATGTCTAGGGTGTTGCAAAATCTAGTTGATAATCTATCCTTGAAGAGCTTACAACTGAAACTGAAGGAATTGAAGGAAATGTTTCTTACGTTTTCTCTGTACATTCTTCACTGAGTTAGTAAATTCCAAACTTAAAGAGTTCGTCATGGTGTTTTACTATGGAATGTTTATTTCCCAAAGACCTTTGTAAAATATGTTTAGAATGCTGTTGTTAGCCCAAATTTTAGTATCTTGACAATTTTTCCTTATCTATACTATTTCAAAATTGTTCGTTCAGCCATTGTTGATGAGAGGTCAAAATTTTTAACTTCAACTAGCTACTCCAAACAAGGACGACTTATCCTTTTGGGATGCTTTTCTTAGAATTTTCTGTAATCTTAGATTCAGATTTCTATTATATCATCTATAGGACCTCCTGATGATAATCACTATCCAGCTGAAAATTAAAGAACAGTTTTCATCAAAGTAATTAAAATTTGGAGCACAGCCCTATGATAAAACAGTTCAAAGGATAATTTCTTACTGAGTATGTGGCACAGGTTTACAAAGATGATTAAGAAATTGTCAGAACCTGTTTTCTAGTCACGAATAAAACCTTTGCAATTATAATTATTGATATTATGTACCCTAAAAAAAGAACTGATATAGTTTTTAAAATTGTATACTAAAACACTGAAACATAACAGAAATAAAATGCAATTTATGTTAAGAGAATATAACAATTTTGCGTATTCAGGTATTTTCAAAAGGCAGTTAAATTATATTGTTTACCTCAGTTGTACAACTGTAAACAATCATGTCTTATCTGAGAGCATATTCCAATTTTGTGTTCTTACTACACTTTTATCTCATTTTGGTGTGTCTAAAGCATGTGTAAAGGTGAATTAGTCCATTATTAAAAGTATTTATGTTGGGCACACTGGCTTATGCCTCTAATCCCAGCATTTTGGGAGGCCGAGGCAAGTGGATTACTTGAGATCAGGAGTTCAAGATCAGCCTGTCCAACATGGAAACCCCCATCTCTACCAAAAATATAAAAATTAGCCAGGCGAGGTGGCGAGTGCCTGTAATCACAGCTACACATGAAGCTGAGGCAGGAGAATCACTTGAACTCAGGAGATGGAGGTTAAAGTGAGCCAAGATCGTGACACTGCACTCCAGCCTGGGCAACAGAGCGAGACACCGTCTCAAAAAAAAAGTATCTACATTGATCATAAATCAGTAGCATTCCTGCCATCTAACATCTTTCAGCCCTTTGCTACCCTCTCTCACTGATCAGAATCATTGGATAGAATCAACTTTATGTTCTGCCGAACAAGGGGATGTTTGTTTGTGTTTCAGGCAAAGTTCTATTGGATTGATATTTAAATGCAGTGCAGTGAATGAAAAGCTTGTTAGTTGTGCTCATGCTTGTGATTGTGATTCGCCATTGTGTCATAAACCCATAATTATAATTCTGTTCTGCTCAGAGGAGTCAGTTAACAAATTTCAAAAGAATACTGACTGGATGGGAAGAATAAAATTATGAACTAGTTCTAATTAATTTGATTATTCCTTAGCATGTATTATTTACATGTTAGTATTTGGTAACATTTCATTCTTTTTGAAGAATTCAACTTAATCTCCATAACTCAATGAGGCAATTCAATTACCTTTTGAATCAAAATTATTAAATTTCTCCCACCACTTTCTATTTAGGAAGATGAAAAATAGCTTTAATACAGAGTATTCACGTAAAGCCAAGCCCATAGCATTTATTTAGGGTATTTCCAAATAATAATAATATTGCTCCTGCTAATGATAATGTATTACTTTTTATCATAAACATTATGAATTAGAACTTTGAACATTTTCTTCTTACATAATGACCATATGTAATGGAAGGAAATTAAGTAATGAATATATATAATATATATATATATATATATATATATATTATATATATATAAAATGGCTGATCAACAGGGAAAAGCATTCTAATAAAAAAATCTATTAAACTGCAGGAAATTATCTCTCTAGGGAAGTTATACTAGCTTTACTGCTTAAGTCTCGTAAAACTGGACCAGAAACAAAGAAGCACTAGAAATTGCACCAGAGGGAACAATCCTATTTTAGTGAGAAAAGAAAGGCAGCAATGCAATGATTGCTCTTCTTCCCCTCTGCTAGAAACACCTTCAATCTGCACCTCGGAGAGTCCCCTTCTATACATCGGCGGCTTTGGGCACAAGAGATGCATGGGTCTTTTATTTCTTCTTTAAAAATTTTGACAATTTAGACATGAAAATTTATGTAGCAATGCAATGATAATTATAAAATATAATAATATATGACTTATTCTTTCCTATAATATATAATCTTTAAATGAACCACAAAAATTAAAATGTTATTAAGAATATCACATATAAGACCATAGATAACATGTTATATTATTTAGTTCATGTAACCTAGATTAACAGTCAAAATAATTTAATATCTCATTTACTACAAAAAGGAGGCTGACAGGGTAATAGGTGAATCACGTGTGAATTCCCGTAGCCAGAGTTTGGAGATAGGTTAAGAAAGACAAACAAAGCTATGTTATTGAAGCATGAAAATTAGGGCACAGTTATTTAGAATGAAGGAATGGTAAACATAGAATCTTTGTTTTTGGTCCTTCAGAGCTTAATATACTGGGAATTTCAGAAGGAAAATTAATAATCTGGTGAATTGATCTGTACAGAGCGAGTAAGAAACAAACAAAAAAGCTGTGATTGTGGACAGAACTTTAAAGTACAGAAAGAACCGACAACCTTATTCTTACCTAATGTGCTTGGATACCGTTCTTTGCCAATACCTGTTTTTTGAGCTTTTACTCTGTGCCAGGCACTGCATTTTGTTCTCGAGCTCATGGGGCAATAGAGAAGAGTAATTCAGGCAGAGCACACGTGCAGGAGACCGGAGTTTTATCATGACTCAAATCAGTCTCCCTGAGCATTACTGAACCAGAATTTTCAAAGATAACTTGGTGGCTTGAGGCTTGGGAAGTGAAGAGCACTGACTGGTCAGCTTGGGGACGGAATGGTAGGGGTTGAGGTTAGTTTTGGTGTTCCTGGGTGCGATGGCAGAACTGGATGGGCCAGATGACTGGTCTGGGTGGTGTCAGCTGATCCATCGGGTGCAGGATCTGCAACATATCTCAAGCACTGATCTGGGTTTTATGATAGTGATGTTACTCCCAGGAGCAAAGTGGGGAGGTTCTGTCTCTTGGAGCCAGAGGCTGCATGACCCCTAAATCATAATTTCTAATCTTGTAGCTAATTTGTTAGTCGTGCAGAGGCAGGCTGGACCACAGGAAAGAAGGGGTTCTTTTTGGGAAGGGCTGTTATCAATTTTATCTCATAGTCAAACCATGAACTGAATTCCTTCCCAAAGTTAGTTCAGCCTACGCCCAGGAACGAACAAGGACAGCTTATGGTTTAGAAGCAAGATTGAGAGTCAGTTAGCTCTGATTTCTTTCACTGTCATAATTTCCTCAGTTATAATTTTGCAAAGGCAGCTTCAGTACCCCAAAATCAGCAGTGTCCCTTTTCATGGTCTTAAAGTCTAGTGAGAAAGAACATGAAGTAAAAAATACACTGACTGTACCATTCCAGCCTCCTATCCATGGTCTGAGAAAGAGTAACAGTCCCATAGCAGCATTAAACAGAGTTGCTTGAACCAAACTTCTGAGGGGCCAAGAAGGATGGTCAGGATATGAACTAACAGAGAGTGTGTGTTAATTAGGTGAAAAGAACAGAGGAAGCTAGGGGTAGATCATGTTCCAGCAGAGGAAGCAAAATTTGCAAAGATCCTGTGGAAGGTGAGACGGTATACACTGCATAAACCAAAAGAAAACGATGTGGCTGGAGTTAGAGAACAAGGGTAAGAGACTGGCAGAGTGGGCTGCTCTGAGAGCGCAAGCTTGGGGTAGAACGTGGGTAAAGGATCAAACGTGCATTTGGAAAACACCTCTCTGGATTCCATGGGGGAAAAGATTGGGATCAGGTTAGCTAGTAGGTTAACCTAGTGCTCTAACTCCAGAAAGAAGTACAATTTGCCTTCTCTAAGACATTGGCAATACATATTCCGAGGAGAGAAAGGGAGAGAGAGAAACCAAAGGCAGTGTGTTGATGTACAGGTGTTGAAGTCTTTGCCATTTTGCCAAGACGCATCCTAGAACAGAGCTGAACATGAGCATACTATGTTCCCACAGAGGGATGCTGACTGCCACTGCCCTCCCCGGCCCCACTATGTCCTTCCTTTATTTGGGGGCAGGATGAGAACACATGTACAAACAGACTTCTTGGCCATTGCTGAGTTTGAGCTTACGTGCCTACTTTTTACTGCCATCACAGGGAAATTCCACCATCCAGGACCTGGAGGCCTTGGGATCTATTGGAAGTGTGAACAGACTCAGGTTTGGCTGCTTGTTGCTCAAAAACCAAACCTAAGAGACAAGAGTTAATGGGAGGAAAAGGAGGTTTATGCAGAGAGCTAGCAAACTCTTGAACCCAGGAGGCAGAGGTCGCAGTGAGCTGAGATCGCGCCACTGAACTCCAGCCTGGTGACAGAGTGAGACTGAGGAAGGAAGGAAGGAGGGAAGGAGGGAAGGAGGGAGGGAGGGAAGAAAGGAAGAATGAAAGATCCACCCTCCCCAGTGATGGCAGGTGTCTTACAATCTCTTGAGGGCCTAAACAGAACGAAGGAGG